TGCAGAATCAATGAGCTAGAAAGAATTGGTTGACAATGAAACTTTCAGGAAGTCCATATGAACCATTTGGATTGAAGTTCAACATCAAGAAGACAAAGATTCTCATGACTGGGCCAATTGGCAGCATCATGACAGATGCTAAAATTTCAGCTTGTTCAGCTCTACAATTAACAACCTTGGCACCAGCAGTCAGAAAATCAAAAGATTAATTGCTTTAGGAAAGTCTGCTATCAGGGACCTCCAGATGTCAGTCCAGAGACTAAGGTGTACCTAATCTAGGCCATGTTCTTCACAATTACTTGTTGTGCATCAGAGAGATGGACAATGACTGAAGATGACAGAAGAATTAATACCTTTGAGTCATGGTGCTAGAAAAGAGTCTTTAAGATATGATATAGGCTGACAAGAGAACTAACAGATCTGTCCTAGACAGGGTGCAACTGAGCTGCTCCTTGGAGGCAAGGATTTTGACGCTCTGTCTAAAATACTTTGGGCATGTTTCCAAGAACCAGTCTTTGGAGAAGGACATCATGCTTGGAAGGGTAAAGGGTCAATGCAGGAGAGGAAGACCCAGGATGAGATGAGCTGACACAAAAACTGGGGTAATAAAAATAGGTGTGCCAGAGACAGTGACCTTAGAATAGTGCGGAGTTCAGAGCTGCCGTGCAAAGGTTCGCTATGAGTTGTGGTTGACTTGATGGCACAACAACCACCATGACCACTATATGAACAAGAGCCAATGACAACAAAGGAAGAAGTTTAAGATGGGATACTGATTGACATAGTCCGAGCTGGATTTAGAATAGGCTGTGGCACCAGGGATATAATTGCTGATGTCAGATGGATCCTGGCTAAAAGCAGAGACTAATGGAAATCTGTTTTATGCAAAGGAATTTTACTGTATATATCACAACAAACTATGCTGAACAAGAATAGGAATCCCAGGACACTTAATTGTGTTCATATGAAATCTATACCTAGACCAAGAAGCTGTTGTACAAATGGAACAAATCACCGCATAGTTTAAAATCAGGATAGGTGTGTGCTGGGGATGTATCCTTTCACCATACCTACTCAGTCTATACACCAAGCAAACAGTATGTAAAGCTGGACTCTATCGAGAGGAATACAACATACAGATGCTACAACCTTGCTTGCTGAAAGCAAGGGGGACATGAGGTGCTTGCTGCAGAGGATCAAGAACTACAGCCTTCAATATGGATTACATTTCAACATCAAGAAAACAGAACTCCTCACCACTAAGCCTATAGGCGACTTCATAAGAGATGGAATAAGATTAAACTTGTCGGTGTTTTAATCATACTTGGATCCATCATCGATATCCTTTCGGGAGACAGGTGACATATATAGTTTGATGATATATACTCACAATGGAATACTATGCTGCACTGAAAAAAACAGTGAACTCGTAAAACATTACACAACATGGGTGACCCTGGAGGACATTATGCTAAGAGAAATATCTCAGTCATCAAAGGACAATTATTGCATAACACCACTGTTATAAAGCAAGACCGACTTGGGAGGCTGGGGAGAAACTAGGGAAAGAGTGAACATACTACATTGGAACAGACCTAAGTAAAAGGAATATATGATTAAGCATTATTTATATGACAACATTCCAGAATAAGGGGCACATTGCAAAGTAAAGAAGTGGGGAAGGAGATTGTGCAACAATGAATGAATTTTTTTAAAAAAAGAAAGTGAACTGGGGAAGAAGGAAGGGAAAGGGAGGAAAATGTGTAATAGTGAATGAGTGAAAATCCAACTTTTCTGTAAACTTTCATTAAAATCGCAATTGAAAAAAAAATTAAGAGTCTCTATATAGTGTGCCAAGGACCTTCCTGATATTTACAACATCTTGATATTTACAATTTTGTAACTGATATGTAACAGCATGTTGGCATACATATTCTGGGACCGGTAAAATGAATATAGTTAACATGAACAGTGTTTTGAGTGAGACTCTTCAAGGTTGTAGGTTAGGAGCTTTCACAGAACTTTGTTTTACAGCCACCACTGTTTCTTATGTTGTCATTAGATGCCAACAAGTTGATCCAACTCATACCAACCCTTCGCACAACAGAAAGAGATGAGCTGTTATTGGAGCTGCTATGTCACTCCGTGTCACTGAAGATCTTCCTGTTTTTACTAACCCTCTGCTTTATCATGAGTGATGAGTCCTTCTCCAGAAGCTGCTCCTTCCTGATAACATGTCCAAAGGACAGGAGATGAAGTTTCACCATTGCTGCCTCTTAGGAATGTTCTGGCCTTTCTTCCTCAAAGGCAGATCTTTTGTTCATTCTTCTGGAAGTTTATACTATTGTTGTTAGGTGCTGCCAAGTTGAGTATGAACACTCTGAACAACAGATCTGAAGCCTGTTCTAACCCGTGCTGTCCTTATGCTTCCTGACACATTAGAGCCCATTGCAGAAGTCACCATGTCAATCCACCTAGTTGAGGGTCTTCCTCTTTGCTGACTCCACCTTCTGAGCATCATGTCTCTCTCCAAGAAACAGTCCCTCCCAGCAACATGGCCAAAGAATGTGAGGTGAAGTCTCATCATCCTGGCCTCCAGGGAGCATTTGGCTACACTCTCTCGAAGACATAGTTGTTTTTTCTTTTTACTGTCCATAGGATGTTCAGTGTCCTTCTCCAACACCACAGCTCAAAGGGTCAAGTCTTCTGTCATCCTTATTCATTGTCCAGCTCTGACATGCATAGCAAGTAATTGAAAAAACCATGGCCTGACTATGACAGTAAAAGAGCTGATAGTCCATAGTATATTCAGTATGTGTTGCCAGCCCCCTATGTCAAAGTCATCCGTGTTCTGGTTAGTTTCATTCATTGTCTAGCTTTGGCATGCATATGAGGGAGTTGAAATTACCATGACTTGGATCAGACACACCTCAGTTGGCCCTCAAGATGATGTCTTTATTTTATAACACTTTGCAAAGATTTATTGCAGCAGATTGGTCCAATACATCTGGTTTCTTGATTGCTGCTTCTGTGGGTATTGATTATAGATTCAAGGATAATAAAATCCTTGACAATTCCAATACAATGTTTGTCTTTCTTGTACCTTACCTAAAGCAGTATTTCTTTCATCTTCTTGTTTCTCTCATTGTTTCCCCCACCTCCTTAATTTGGCATTCTTATTCAAAACCAATCTAGAGCTCTCTTTATATGAACCATCTTGACTTAGTATGTGCTTAATTTCCTGGAAATTTAAAGCAGGATAGCAAATGAGATCCATATACCATCAACTCTAATAATTAACTCAGATTCCATACAATTCACTAATTTAAAGTGACAAGGTTCCAATGTTATTCATATAGTTTTCAATATCAGTCTTAAGATTATGGTACACATGACATCAGCCATAGTATTTTCAATTACTTTATATGCATGTGAAAGTTGAACAATGAATAAGGAAGACCAAAGAAGAATTGAGGCCTGTAAATTGTGGTGTTGAGAAAGAGTATGGCATATCTCATGGACTGACAGAAAAATAACAATGTATGTGTTGGAAGGGGTACAACCCGGGCATTCCTTAGAAGCAAGGATGATAAAACTTGGTCTAATACACTTTGGACATGTTATGTGGAGGGGCCAGTCCCTGCAAAAAGACATTATGTTTGGAAAGTAGAGGGTCCACAAAAGGGAGGGACACCCTCAGTGAGATGGATTGACACGCTGACTACGACAGTGGCCTTGAGCATGGCATTGATTGTGAGGATGGCTCAGCATAGGGCAAGGTTTGGTCCGTGTTCATAGGATTGCTATAGAGTCATAGTCAACAGGACCTAACAACAACAAAGTGCACAAATAAGTAATAGCATTTCCTATATTCAGAGTATCCATCACCATAATCCATTTTAGGACATTTTCATTGTCCCCTTCTCCCCCACAAAATATCCTGTCCTGCTTAGTCATTTCTCCTTGAATCCTGTTGCTGGTAATAGATGCTATTGCTTTGATTTCAGCTCTTCAAGACAGAGTAGAACTGCCTGTAAATTGTGGTTTGGGTAAAGAGTATTGAACATGTCTTGGACATGATTTTCTTGTCTATAACCTTTTTTTTTTTTTAAGAAACAGATTTTTGCCCCCCTGAACCACTGGGCGGGTTCTAATTTTCTCTCTGAGTGCTTCACCAATGTCCTCCAGCCCCCTTCCCTCCAGCCCTAGGCAACTACTAATCTACTTTCTATCCATGGATTTGCCTATTACGGACATTCAGTAAAATGGAATAATACAATATGTTGTCATATATGATCCTTTTCCCATTGCTGAGGCTATTATCCTAGGGTGCGGAAGAGAGTGTTTTGGGGCTCTTAAGAATCTTCCTGATAAGGAATAGCTGATGGGTGAGGTTGCATTTTAGTACAGATCTAGAGTGAGAGATACATTATGAAATTTGACTGCAGCTCCTGCCAATACCATCACGCACAATGGAACAACACACCGTTCCCATGATCCAACCATTGTGATCTATCAGGTGATAACTGAGTGGTGTTTTGGAAGAAGATCACCTGGCAATTTTTTTTTAATCTTTCACACCCTGGAATTTGGTTTGGAAAGGAATTACTGTAACCCTAAATTGATCCTTACTAATTGGCCCCTCAAGGAACTGCTGTCAGACATGTGCTAAGAGTCATTAGGAACTCATGAGTGTGGGTAGTTTGTAAATATAAATGAAAATGCTATCTGTTTTCAACATTCATACCTATCAGTGTATTTTGCATATACCCCATAATTCTCTAATTAAAAAAAACAGTCCCCCAAGCCATATTTTAGAAATCACAGAAACCCTTGAGAAAGGCCCATAACCATTTTGGGTCACTCCAATGTTGTGTTCCTGCCTTAATCTAGAGTGGTTTAACTTGATCAAGCCAGCAGTACTGCTCAAGTGTTTATTTCTGCAGTAACAAGCATTTACTTCTGTAGTAACCCATGTCTGCTTTGCCTTTCTTGTACAGGTCCTTCTAAAGGAAGAAGTCTTATTGGTAGGAATAATGGCTCCTCACAAGTTGATGCAAAAGGCGGTCAAGTGGAAGCAGGCCTTTTTGTGGATGCTGTTTCTGCCTCTGTCCTCACTGGAAAACTGACAACTGTCTTCCTTCCAGTGGTTTACATCATTGTATTTGTGGTGGGTTTGCCCAGTAATTGCCTGGCCCTGTGGGTGTTTCTTTTCCAAACCCAGAAGAAGCACCCGGCTGTGATTTACATGGCCAACCTGGCCTTGGCAGATCTCCTGTCTGTCATCTGGTTTCCCTTCAAGATTGCTTATCACCTCCACGGCAACAACTGGGTTTACGGGGAAGCTCTCTGCAAGCTGCTGATCGGCTTTTTCTACGGCAACATGTACTGTTCCATCCTCTTCATGACATGCCTCAGCGTGCAGAGATACTGGGTCATCGTGAACCCCTTAGGGCGCACCTTGAGGAAGGCGAACATTGCCATCGGCATCTCCCTGGGTATCTGGCTGCTGATCCTGCTGGTCACCGTCCCCTTGTATGTTGTAAAGCAGACCGCCCGCGTTCCAGCCCTCAACATCACAACCTGCCACGATGTCTTGCCTGAGGAGGTGTTAGTGGGGGATATGTTCAATTATTTCCTCTCTCTAGCCATTGGGGTTTTTATGTTCCCAGCCTTCCTTACAGCCTCTGCCTACGTGCTGATGATCAGAGTGCTCAGATCGCCTGCCGTGAATGAAAACTCGGAGAAGAAAAGGAGGAGAGCCATCAAACTCATTGTCACGGTCCTGGCCATGTACCTGCTCTGCTTCACTCCCAGCAATCTTCTGCTTGTGGTGCATTATTTCCTAATTAAAAGCCGGGGCCAGAGTCAAGTCTATGCCCTATACATCACGGCCCTTTGTCTCTCTGCACTCAACAGCTGCATTGACCCCTTTGTCTATTATTTTGTTTCCAAAGATTTCAGGAATCATACAAAGAACGCTCTGCTCTGTCGAAATGCACGAACTGTAAAGCGGATGCAATTATCCCTCACCTCAAAGTTCTCCAGGAAATCTAGCTCTTACTCTTCTAGTACAACCAGTGTGAAAACTTCCTTGACTTGTCCATCTCCTCAGCTGGAGGTTTTACAGTAGGGTTTGGACTACTTGCATCATTTTCTGGGGACATTTGTGTTATTTCCTAATCACATATGATGGTTCGCAGCACCTCTGTAAGGATTGCTGGAAGTTTCCAGTTTGCATGAGAAACAGCCCAGAATTAAGATAGACATTGTCAGTTTCAGAATTCTCTTGAGCTGCTTCCCCAAAAGGAACTGTCAGAAGCTGACTTGTCAGAAGGCAACAATAAGAGAGACTCTCATTGGCATGTGGAAACATATTTTGGCTCGAAAACTAGTTTTTAAGTGGCAACTACATTTCTTTCACCTTTGGGGTCAATACAACCTTAGAGTTTAAGGGCCAGCTGCCAGAGATTACCAATCTCCTAGAGTGGCTTTACAGAGTACAAAACAGAAGGGGCTTGCCCAGCGTCAAGTTCCTGACTAATTGCTAGAACTGGGTTTGGGCTGGAGAATTTAAGTGTTCAGTGTGGTTCATGTAACAACATTGGCACCATCTATTTTTTTAAAAAAGGTCTATCAAGTCAATTTCAATTCACAATGACTCCATTGTGTCGAATAGAACTGTCTCATAGGATTTTAAGACTGTGATATTTTAAAAGCAGATGCCAGGCCTTCTAAAGTGCCTCTGGATGGTCTGAAACAGCCGGTCTTTCTGTTAGTAGTCAGGTATTTAACTATTTGTACTACCCAGCATTTTCATGGAGCTTGCTATAACAAGAAGGTTATTCAGTCTTAGTAATACTTAGATGCTCTGGGAATCTGCATGCTAACCAGCTTTTGTATGATACATAATATGCACGGCCGGGTCTGTGAGTCACGAGCTGAGTGTGTTCCATTTCATGAAGCACCACAGTAGTTACTGAAGAGAGGGAGGCAAGCAGAGAGCTTTGTGTCTCCACTTTGAGATTCACTTTTAAGGAAAATCTCATTGACTCACTGGAACTTTTATAATTACTTCTTTGAATATTCTAAATGTGTAAATCCAGGTTTTGTGTAATTTTTTACTGACTTCAGTGAAATCGAAAGGTAGTCTGAGTGAAACTGTTTTGCAACCAATGCATACCGCATAGTATTTTTTATAAATGAATGTGTTGGGATAATTATTGTCATTTTCATGAATTTGTCGTTAAATATGGAATTGGAAAAGGTTTCACTAAGTTAAACCACCATATTTGTTTGGAAGACAGCACTAAAGTTGACATGCCAACCTTTTATATAACTTGTATTTTTTACTTTAAGTGACTTTTATAATTTGTATAGTATGATTGATTTATAAAGAACACCTGATTTTGTTTTTTATGACTTGTCTCTGGGTCTTTTGCTTGTCTATCTGTTTGTATATTTTTGTGGGGAAGAGGAGGAGAAGGAAGCCCCAGCCTCACTCTATTTTTCTTAGAGAAAGTAATGTACTGCTCACACCATATATTTCCCCTCCTCATAAATAGGGCTATATTAAACATAAAATTCTATGAAAATAATGTTTCATTTAAAACCATTTTTCTAATTCTTCCCTTGCATAAAAACAGTGAGGCTGGTGTGGGAGTCTTGTTGTCTTAACTTCCAGTAACTCCATGCAAGGGGGAAGAATCTACATTAAGAATATCAACAACACAAAGCCAATTCCTGTGAGATCAGACATGCCCCCATGTTCCCACATCTACTTCTATCAATTTTAACTCCAATCTTCCCTCCTAGAGCTCTTACTACTCTATTACTAGATTCACTGAGCCATTGCAATGATCACCCAGAACTCATTAACAATGTTCATTGCAGAGTTTATTAGGGATGCTGTTGTTATGCACTTTTGAGTCACCTGTGACTCATAGTAACTGGATGCACAATAGCTCTGAAGCCTGCCCTATCCTGAGCCAATCTCTAACACAACTGTCTGCATTGCCCCACTTACTGTGTCTATCTGCAGGGTCTTTCCTTCTTGCACTGTCCCTCCTCCAGTCCCTCTTGACAACATGCCTAAAGTATGTGAGACAGAGCTTCAAAATCCTTGCCGTCAAGGAGCAACTTGTTTTTACCTTCTCCAAGACAGACCAATTTGTTTTCTTGGCAGTCCATGATAAGTTCAATACTTTTCTCCAGCTCCACAACTCAAGAACATCAATTCTTCTTCTGTCATCAGTCATTGCCCAGCTCTCTGTTGCATAACAACTAATTATGAAGACCATGACCTGGATCAGATGCACCTTAGTCTCTAGACTGACATAATTGTTCTAGACATCCACTCTAGAGAGGTCCCTGAAAACAGACTTTCCCAATGCAATTAATCTTTTGATTTCCTGACTGCTAGTGCCAGGAGTGTTGATTATGGAGCAGAGCAAGTTGTAATTGTTAATAATCTCTTCGGATTACAATTCTTCAGTCAGTACAGCTTCTCAGATGTACTTGGAAGCAAACCTTCCAATGAGTCTCACAGTTGTTGGCCACTGTTACAAATCATTTTACTTTTGCCATTTATTTGTGTTCACACCCATAAGGTACTATTTATATTATTGGCAAGCTTGGTGGGGGTCACAAAGACCCCATATTTGTATAGCCTTATCTAACCATGGCAACCTGAAACACTTGTTGCAAAAGAAGAAAGACTACAGTCTTCAGTATGGATTAGATCACAAAAATAAAAACCTCACCACTGGGCCAATAGGCAATAGCATGATAAATGGAGAGAGGATTAAAATTGTTGATGATTTCATCTGATTGAGATTACAGTCAATATACTTGGTACCAGCAGTCAAGAAAATAAAAAAGTCATATTGTGTTGGAAAGCCAGAGACCTCTCCAAAGTGCTGAAAAGCATGAAGAGCATTTAAAGACCAAGGTGTATCTGATCCAATTCATAATCTTTTCAATTACTTTATATACTTCTGAAAGTTGTACAAGTAATAAGGATGAGAGAAGAACTGATGCCTTTAAGCTATTGGAGAAGAGTACTGACTATCCCAGGGTCTGCCAAAAAACCAAACAAATAATTTGTAGAGAAAGTGCAAACAGGATTCTCCATAGTGACAAGGATATGACAAGGATAGTGAAACTTCATCTCAATTACTTTGGCATGCTAGGAGGGGCCAGTCCTTTGGGAAAGACATCATGTTTGGATAGGTGGAGTGGCACTGAAAGAAGACCCTCATTGAGATGGATTGACATAGTGACTGTCACAATGTGTTTAACATCATCAGAGATGATGAAGATGGCACAGGACAGGGCAGGGTACAGATCATGTTGTTCATAGGATCATCGTGGGTCATAGTGGACTTGACAGCACCTAACAACAACATCTAAGTATGTGGTTAAAGCCAATAGAATAGCCCAATATAGCATACCGTGACTTCATCTTAGGTTTGCCTCCATTTTTAAAAGTTAGTATTTCAGATACATCATGATGTACTTAGCTATTTCTTATTGATCTGTATTTCCTTTTTTTATTTTTTTGGTTTTGTTACTAAGACAATCCTGCAGAGACTACATGGTTCTGGACATTTTGTGAGAATTCTTATAGAATAAATTCCTGGAAGCAAAATGTCTAGATCAGACAGAATAATGTAAAAAATTCTTATTTGCTATGCACATCTATTCTCATCTACCAGAGAGAAGTAATTTTTAATTATTTGTTTATAGAAAATATACTTTTGTAATTGGGGTCTTAAAAGCTTGTAAGTAGCCATCTATCTGCATGCTCAAAACAAAAGCAAAGATATATAGAAACTATCCGGAAGACTAACAAACCATGTGAACCTCAACTGCCATGGCCTGGAGACCAGAAAAAACTAGATGGTGCCCAGCTGCAGTTGCTGATTACTTTGAAAGGGATCACAGCAAAAGATCCTGCCTGGATAGAGCAAGGGAAACTCTGAAATGGACTCAAAACTGAAAGGCCAGGCTTACTTGTCCAATATAAACTGGTAGAATTCTTAAGATGTGACTCAGTCACTCTTAGAAACTGGAACAAAGCTCACTTCTGTGTCTCAATGTTCAGCCAAACAATAGACAGGCATCTAAGGGGAACAATATCACCAGGAAGGCACGAGTTCCTTAGAGTAACTAACCAGATAGGGTCTAAGACAACACTCATCCAAGGGAAGTATTTGCATAGAAGACAGGGGTAGTAGAGAAAAATTAATGAAAATGAGAGTCACAGAGATAACGTGAAAAGAGTGATGGTAATTAATATTGTAAAATAAAATATACAAATGATTAAATGGAAAATTAATTGGCTTTGTAAGTCTTCACTCAAATCACAATTTTTAAAAAAAAAGAGATTCTTAAGAATATGTGTGTGTAAGTATATGTTTACTTCTAAATAAGTTTTTATGAGTCTCATCTTTTAAGAGCACATAGTTTTCCATATGTGGATGACTAATTAGTATCCTATTGGTATGTAAAGAAACATTTTCATTTAGTCAAATCTAACTAACTGTGAGCTCTATGAACAGAATAGAACTGCTCTATAGGGTCTCCAAGATTGTATTTTAACTTGCTACATTTCTGTCTTGGACTGACTGGTGGATTCAAACTATGAACCTTTCGGTTAGCAACACTGTCTAGAGAGCAAAAAAAAATGGTACATGGGGGCACAGGGACATAAGCATCTTTCTGAAAGGGTCAGAAGGAATGTGGACAGCACAGTCCCTCACTGCCCCAGACCAGAAAGCAGATAAAGAACTCATAGCCCAGCCCCATGGTGCTTCTAGAGACATACCAGTAGCAAGGGGTTCATTTATTTGTTGGTGACTCACAGACTTGACTCACAGTTGTTCTGAGAATGGGATTTATTAGGGAAATAAGTTGGAGATTGGGGGAAGCAAAGAATATTTCACAAGTTTAGGTTTTAGCCCAGACAGTCTCAAGGTACAATTCCTCAATTAGTCCAGGCACTGGTTTCAGCACAGCAAGCAGATTATCCTTCTATTATCAATGACAAGAACAGCAAAATCCTTCATACTATGGTCATTATCTCAGGACTCCTCTGGTTACACCTTGCCACAGTTTCTCCACAGTAATGCT